CCCTAAACCCTAAAGCCTTAAACCTAAACCCTCAACCCCAGATTCGGAAACCCACCATGGGAGCACCTTGGAGTCCAGCTGCCAAAGGCGAACGGTGCCATCCAAGGACGCGGTGAGGCATCGCCTGCATGTGAAGGGCTTAGGCTTTAGGGCCTAGGGTTTAGAGTTTACTTTGGGGTTTGGGGTTTGGGGTTTGGGGTTTGGGGAATTTCAGGGTCTTAGGGTTTAGGGCCCTTCAGGGTTCAGGGTTTTCAGAGCTTCTGGCTTCAGTGTATCCCACGTGCCAGCTTAGGGTCTGAGCGGTGGAGAAGGCTCGGGGGAGCTGCGACGGAGTGTTTAGGATTGTACAGGGGCCAGGGCTCAGGCATAGTTTTGGGAGTTGAAGAGGAGCTCTCTGTCTACAGACCAGCTCAGGATGGAAGATTTGGGCGGGCTGCGCATGCTTAGGCATTTTGCTTGGGGCTGAAGGCTGTGAGTCTTCGCTTCTCAACTACACTGACCCTGCTGATGGAACTCCGGTCACCGATCACCTCTAGACCTCTGTTTCCAAGGCCAGTGTAGGAGGCACATCCTGACAAGCGACACCGAGATTGCTCCAAATCACCCGACAAGCCCTCAAGGACTCAGAACCAACAACGTGGGCAGCATAGACCTGCTAATGACCACCATCCTTGACCCGAAGCCCTCAAAGTAAACACCTCTTCCCTGGTCGAATTGCGGGCTTTATGCGGCGTCTTTGGAGTTTTGCTGAGCTCCACCCAATCTCACCCTTGAACCCTCCACACACGTTGAGCCGAGCCCGACAAGCCCTACACCCTCCACGCTCCACCGTAACTCACGCCTACACCCTTCACACCAAATCAACCGACCTCGAGGAACCCCCAACCCTATCATCGCCATAACGAGGCCCCGGCAGAGGACTGCGAACAAGCTGGACCTGGCAGGGCGAGCCAGGAGAGTTTAGTCGTAGAGTTGAGGGCTCAGTTTGAGGGCATATGAAAGTTCAACAAGTCCAAGCTCCTTCGAGGCAAGCAGCAGTCTTTGGGTATTTGGGTTGGTGTTCTTGACACAGCCGTTTCTTGGCATCACGCCAGCCAGAGTCTTCTGTTTCTTTAGATGCTGCAGCGGCAGTGACGGTGGAAATGTCAAGGATAGCGACCGCAGCTACGACTGGGCAGGATGGTGAAATGTGACACTGACACCAGACACCGAGACCGACACCGATACTAACCCTGATACTGATACTGATAAGGATGATGATAACGAAGGCGATGGTGATGTCGATTGAGCCCGATTGTCATACTGCTATGGTGCTGGTGAAGAATGTTGAAGTTAAGGTTATGCTAAAACGAATGCTGATGCAGATGATGATGCTGACACTGATGCTGCTAGTTGTGATGACTCTTCTTCGCTCCATATGAAGCCCATATTGTATCCTTTCTGGTAACCCTCATAGTTACCTTGCTAGTAACCCTTATTGCAGCCCTCCTGGTATCCCGTATAGATTATAGAAACCATTGCGGCATCCCATGCAGTACTAGCGCTGGGGTTATCTCACATC